TGGCGTATGTATAAAAGATTACTAGTTAGGGATTCATACCTAATGAAAACAACTTACTATGATAGTTGCATAACATTATACATTTTATTACTAACCTTTGATGAAGGGCAAAAACTGCCAATCATGTGCTATAAACCAGAGAGTATTCTATTGCTTGGTATCAATCACTTGAATGAATCTCATTACCAACCTAATAACTTGTTTCTACACTTCGAGTATCTGCAAGTTAAAAATGACAGATAAACACTGCAAATAGACCTCTTCGGCTTGGGGTAATGCTATCCCATTTCAACACCGTGGGAATGACGTGGTCTGAAATGGGAAAGCATTACATCAGAGCCGAAGAGGTCTATTGCTTGGTATCAATCAGCTGAATGAATCTCATTACCATCCTACAATGCCCATCATGTGCTATCAACTGCATTACTTGGTATCAATCAGCTCGAATGAATCTCATGGAGCTCATTACTAGCCTCAAGAGAACATAAATAAGAGAGGTTGGGCTATTTTTAGAAACTGGATGCATTTTAAATTTTTGAATCTTATTTCATTTGAATATTGGGTTGCCTGTGCCAGTCCCGCACTATTCCCGCAACTCGTCAGTCTACGGGATCATCTTGTGTCTACAGGATCGGGACTGCGGAAGTCAAGATGGCGGTCGAGAAAAAACAAGAAGAAGACGTAAAGTATCAAAACAACAAAAATCAAAGCAAATTGCCAACCAAACACAATATCAATGAATTGAAAAATGTCTCTGAGCTTCAAAGAAGAGCATACATGACTGCAGCATTGAAAGTTTTCGTTGTATTTCTTGGGTTTGTTATCATAGCGTTGGTGATCACTTCCACTGTCCTTTTAACTATCACGGAGAGATTTAACAATCTCGGTTCTCTATCCTTTAACGAAGATACTGGAAAGCTTCTCATTAAGAACGCCGGGAAAGACAATGCATTGGAAGGTTATCTCGGGAAGGGAATCGTTGGTGGTAAGATTTATAAACGAAGAATCACATCTCAAGAGCTTTTTTATGAGTGGGAAAATAATGCTAATCTGACTATCGAAAAAGATTCAAAGTTTGAAAAATGTTTCAAGTTAAAATGGTTTCAAGGATCAAGTGGTTTGACGTCTCTACAAGATTCCTTCAGCTTAAATAATGTGCATATATATGGTGGATCAGAGCTTTATGTACAGCTATGGCCTTTAGAACTAGCTAGTATTGATACCCAACCTTTTCTTCCACAAGATACCATCCTTGCGTATTATAGCAATAAGACCGTATATGGGCCGGCATTAGAGCGTCTCTGGATGAGCTCTAATGGCATTGGGGTTATTGTTGATGAGAGTGTTCCTCTCCATGTGGGAGTCAATGGAATATCCTCTAAGTCAATGCTGATGCTCAAAAGTGATTTGCAGGGTTATGGGAATGGCCCTTTGCATCTAACATACAGGATATGCACTGGATTAAATATAAAAGAATTGTATCAGTATGTCATGGGGAGCATACTAAGTTTGCCTAAGACAATCCCAGATGAGAGAATGATAAAAGAACCAATATGGTCGACATGGGCAATGTATGGCAAAGCTGTCAATCAGAAAGATGTAACAGACTTTGCCAATCAAATCAAAAAGTTTAACCTCTCCTGCAGTCAGATTGAAATTGATGACATGTACTCCACGGCTTATGGGGACTTTGACTTCAACACTAACAAGTTTCCAAATGCAACTAAGATGATTGACAGTTTGCACAACTCAGGTTTCCGAGTAACTGTCTGGATGTACCCCTTTGCTAACACTAACTCTAAAGCATTCCTCGAAGCAATAGATTATTGGGTAAGGGGACCTGATGAAAAGGTTCCAGGCTTAGTTAAATGGTGGAATGGGATTGGTGGAGTTCTGGATACCACTTCTCCAAAGTCAACTCAATTATTTTCCAATCGATTGAAAGCATTCCAGTCTAAGTACAAGATTGATTCATTTAAATTTGATGCAGGCAGTGTCTCCTATCTACCAAAGGGTTTTAATCTGTATAACATGACTAACAATAACCCAAGCTGTTATTCCTCAAACTATGCATGCCTTGCGTCTGACTTTGGAAGCCTAGTTGAGGTTCGAGTTGGATTTCGCACTCAACATTTACCCATTTTTGTCAGAATGCTTGACCGTTCTTCAACATGGAACAGAGAGAATGGTCTGAAATCTGTCATTCCTACGACTCTTACCTTTGGTATTCTTGGCTATCCATTTGTGCTCCCAGACATGGTAGGTGGTAATGGGGTTGAAATAAGTTCATCTGTAAACTATACTAGCAAGCCTGACAAAGAACTGTACATACGATGGATGCAAATGAATACTTTTCTTCCTGCCATGCAGTTTTCTTTTGTTCCATGGCTCTATGACAACCAAACAGTTGCAATTGCAAAAAGCTTAATAGATCTTCGCATGACAATATCCAAAACGCTCATACAGGCTGCAAAGAATATTTCAATTTTCAATGCTCCAATAATCAGACCACTTTGGTGGATTTCTCCTCATGATGAAACCTGCTTGACTATAGACACTGAGTTTCTTGTTGGTGAACAGTATCTAGTTGCACCAGTATTGGATCCGTATTCAGTAAACAAAGGCACACACAGTGTGTATCTACCTGCAGGCAAGTGGAAGAAAGAGTTTGGAACAAAGGATATAATTGATAGCACACCTGACGGAAAATGGATAAAATTCAAAGTAACATTAGAAGATCTGCCATACTTTTCTGTGGTAAAAGATGTATGACATGCCAGGACACATTTGATTGGTATTTGCAAATTGCATGCTTGTCAGGGCAAGATCCTGGATCTTTAAAGGAGAGGAAGGGGGGGGGGGGGGGGGGGGGGGGGGTGTTGACTGTTACAGGGTATTTTTTGACAATGTTTCAGATAGAAACGCATTTTTTATCTTTAAATATTAAGGGGAGGGTGACTAGTTATACCCCTCGCCAACCCTGGATCAATTTTTTAAAAACAATTTTAATTAAAAATTTAATTATAAACAACAATAATTCTTGTATATATCCACTGAATACTATTTGTAATGAGACTATGACTAAATGCTTGCAAGCAGCAATAATTATTGTTACGGTTAAGGAACTGTTTTAATTTTTACAGGCATATGGGGTGGCTGATGGGATTTTGTGAATTGTAAATAAAAAGTGTATGGCAACTTCCCAACCTGATTTTTTTTTTACATGGCCCCTATTATGTAAGAAAGGAAAATTTTTTATACATTGTATATTTAGATAATTATTTTTGTGGTGCCCCCTTAAATGCCATATTTTTTTAATGTGCCCCCCATCCCCCACAAATCCCACCAGCCCATGGCCACCCACGCCTGTAAGATAAAAAGATGAATGGTTCCTGAAGCCTGTATCCAATCATAAACGAAGTGTGTATATCAAGGTTCATCTAGGAGTAAACAGATATTGGGAAAAAATTGAGTGTTCTTATCATGTTGGGTGGCCCGACTTTGGAAGATTGACTTTTAATTTTAATTAAAAAATAAATAAATATGACCGATATTCATGCTTATTGATAATTATATCCTCATGCAAGCAAGTTTTATATGACATATCTATAAATTTAAATTTTTTAAATCTGTTATAAATTTTTATATCATAAAATTTAAAAATTATATATTTATAACTAGGAATTCTGCACATTAGCAAGAGTTGTAATGATGCTTTGCTACATATTACAATGCATGCACTATCAAAATAAAATTTTAATTAAACAAAAGTTAATGTCCAGAGTGAAATGACTTATAACTTTTTTCTCACCTCCCTACTGCTATATGTATTGCATCATGGGAAACCTTGAGTATACCAAAGCAGGATGATTGTATTGTCTATGCTAGCACATTCTTTACCTATCGTTCTTTAACCTKATCTGTTGGCACAATAAGGACAAGGTGAGTATTGATGATTTATAAACCTGAAGCGAGATGACGTTTTACCCCCGTCTCTAGACCATAATCCTTTTCACATTGCTTTTGTTATTTAATTATGACTAATGTTCCTGTATTCTCTAAGGAATCAAAAATTTTAATATGAAAGAATTTTAAAAACTATTATGGTATAGAGCCGGGGGTAAAACATCATCTCGCTTCAGGCTTATTGGACAACCTGAAATGCAGTCAACTCTATTTACAGTGGACACCCTCTGAGACCATCACTTGGTGTCCCCATCTAGCAAGCATTTGCAATTGTGAGGGTTAATTACAATTAGTTCAACCTAAAATGTTTGTTGATTTGAAGAAGCCATGAAAAAAGGATTTTTTATGGGTGGGTAGGGTGGATTTGTAGAATGAGCATGGGCTTTGGAAAAATACTTAATGTTACCAATTTTTCACCTATCCATGCTCCTTTGAACAATAAACAACTGAGTCCACTTCTCTTGTAAGTTATCCAATACATACAACGTCATCTTTTTCCGATATAAAAATTTGCCAAACCTTTACGCCGGAACCGGAAATGATTTCTAAAAACGCTAGCTAGTACCCAGGCTCCTTTCAGATCACTGGAACAGATGACTCCGACAAGCCGAGAGTGCCCAATGTTTTTGTTTACAAATCATTTGCAAAGCTGATATGAAAACTGATATTACCATGTAAGTTGGTTAGCTCATATTCTAGGATTTATTGTGTTTGTCATGTTTTTAACTGTCAATGATCTTTGTAAAAATTAACGTTCATCAAGATAATTTTCACTGTCTACTCTCAGAGTTGATGTCATGTTACGATGCTGAGAACAACATTAGGGATAATCAAAAACATCCCAGGATTGAAGTCTCGTAACAGCGTTGCTGGAGCTCAGCTCTGGTACATCCAGAGATGTAGAAGGATTCATTTATGCAATCAGAATTATCTACATCATTATCGGCGATTGTGGCTGCAGAATGCTGTCCGGCGATCTGCATCTAGCCGTTCCTCCTCGAATAAAGGCGATGACCAACCATGTTATCCACTAGAGGTAGGATTTTTACTGATATCTAACAAGATTAACAACATTACACTTCATTAAAAGAAAGCACGTATTTACAGTTTCCATAACTGCGCAAGTTCTATTTCTCACTTTTGCGCATTATATTCATTCTATATTTTAACTGATTTAGTAACAACCTGGACCATCCATTTTCTGAATTATCTAGAATATGCCTACTCTACTGTAAATTATTACTCCTCCAATATTTTATAGAACATGTTAAGATTAATGTTAGAAATTTTTAGTAGAGGCCGCCATATTTGAACCTTCAGTCAAAGTTTTAAGCGGTGAGTAGTGTACGCATGCGTATTGGGTTGCAATTTCATCAGATTTGCGGCGCATTTCATTGAATTCCCAAAGTTTTCATTGTTGACCAAAAAATCCCAAAATATCACTCTCAATGGCTGAGAAAGTTGAAGAAAAGATGGAAAATATGAATCTAGAGGAAAAGAAGCCTCAGCCTAAGGCTGGAAAAAAAGAAAAAGCTGATAAAAAGAAGGGAAAAGGAGAGGGAAGCTCTGAGCCTCTGGAGGTACAGTGCGACTCAACTTCACATGGAAAGATTTGCAAAACTTAATATATAGGAAATTAATAATTCTTGATTAAAACCTTTGAGGATATGATTACTCATGGATTATATCTAGTTCTGAATGACTTCATTAGTATTTTTGAGTTTACTGTGCGTAAAGATCAATCTGATCAATTTTGTTACTATCGTAAAATTAGATCAAAAGTTACTTCGTGGCTATTCCAGAATAATTATAGTAAGAATTATTCATATCAATGTTTCTAATCATTCTAGCATTTATTGATATTACTATTAATATTATTCCTAAACAGTGCTTAAAATATTATAACCAACCAGCTTCTACTGTATTTTCAACCCCCAATTTTTTTTAAATGTTACATGTACCGTTTTTTATAACCTTAGAATAATAGAATTGAACAAAAATTCGTATTTTTTCATATTTGAACTTGAGCCAGGGTGCCAGATCAGCTGAATTTCTAAGTTTATTTTAATATGATAATGTCAACTTATCAACCTTTTTACAGATTGTTTCAATAGACCCCTTGCATGTGACGTCAAAGCAGCTCGATTTGGAGGTCAAAACAAAAGAATTTCAATCTCCTGAGAATTGGAACCTATTGTTTTCTCCCCCCTATAACCCACTTCTGAGATATACTTCGCTTGTCACGCACAAAGAATTCAATGTGAGGCTTAATGGATAATCCTCAGTCATTCGTGACAGAAAAAAGAATAAATTTCATTTAGTCTTAGCCGCATACATAAACCTTTGTGCATGATAAGTGAAGCATATCTCGGAAGTGTGCGATTTTTTGCAATCGACATAAAAGAAAATTTTCATTTCCATTTCCATGGTGTTCAGTTTTTGACAACCATTTGGAACAGATAATAAGATACAATAGTTCTGTCCTAAATTAGCTTGACTGACCAAGAAATGGTGGTTTCAAGTCAAGGTTGAATTTGTTGAATAAAAGAATCAAGTTCAGTCTCGACTTCAAACCATTGTTTTGTGGTCATCCAAGCGAATTTGGGAAAGGTCTATTAATAGACGGGATCAGCTGCATGGTTGAAACCCAGTTTGAAATATATGAGGAAACTTATTAGATTTCTCTAATGACTGTTGCTTCACAATAATGTGTTATTATTGGTATATCAACAACTAATAATATAATTCTAATTATTATATCATTATTTGTTATAGCTGGACCCACCACCAGCATATATTCAAGAAAGGATTCAGTTGTTTGACAGATTGAAGTCAGAATATGAGGCCAAAATTGCAGGTTGGCATATGGGGATATCAAGAGTGGCGTTTTAATAGTACACTTGCAATTTTCTTTGTGGTCTTGGGTTAGATTTCTAAACCTGGCATCACATGTGGGCAGGGTTCGTTAGGTCTCTCTCTTGAATTGAGGCTTTTTTAAGGATCCTCCAGTTTTCCTTCCTCCACAGAACTTGACAAGCTATATTCTAAATTGATCTTTGATTTGGCCATGCCATGACTTTGATCAGCCAGGAGGTTGTATAAGGGTTCTATATCTGAGTTAATAGCCATGCCCTTACTTAGATCAGCCCAGAGGTTGTTTCAGGTTTTGAAAAAATATCAAATATATGATTTGGTCAATTCTTTGGTCAATATTCTTAAGGTTATTTAATTTATTTATAATTTATTTTCTTCCCATGATAGCCCAAGAGAACACTCCAATCAAGATTACTCTTCCTGACGGCAAGGTTGTTGAGGGTTTGGCTTGGAAAACCACACCATATGAAATAGCTTGTTCTATCAGGTAGTGTTTTTTCCCTCAATCTTATTCTTTTAAAATTAAAATAATGATAGCCAATTTACCATCCAACAAAGTTTGTTACAAAGAGTTTTCCCAAATTATATCAAAGTTGCGTGTACTTAACTTAATGTTTTGTCCTTTTTTTCATTTCCATAGCCAAGGCTTGGCAGATAATACAGTAGTTGCAAAGGTACCTTTACCCCCATAACATACAACAAAGGAATGTAYAATATAATAGCCAGGAGCCAGGGAAAACACCTGCCTGTCATCTGAATTTTCCCAGCTGAAATTTTCCCATACCCGCCTATCAAGTAAAAATCCCCATGCATAAAAGTTGTTAGCTACTTCCCTACAACAACCACCACTATGATTTACAATTCTTTATTCATACTGTAGAATTGTGTGCTTAGTCAGAGTTTGTTTGGTTTCATGACTCAAGGGTTTTTCTTTTGTGTATCAGATTATTTCTTTAATAAATTCTAAAACTATACTGATATACTTTATTATGATTTTCAGGTCAATGGTGAAGTGTTTGACTTGGATAGAGTCCTAGAGGGTGATTGTACTCTAAAGTTCTTGAAGTTTGATGATCCTGAAGGTAATTCTCTCTACTTTTTGGTCTTTTTAAAATGAAAAAAAATCAAAAACTTGCTTTACTATTACCATATAGTATAGGTATATTGAGTAGAATCTAGTAGCATTTCCCCCTCTTATTTAACTTATTTTCATCTTCTTTATTTGTTACTGTCTTTTGTTATTGATGGATTTGTTTGTTGGTTCTCTTCTGAGCTTTAAAGGGTTTTTCTCCTTGTTCTACAGTTTTTTATTCTCAACAAAAATCAATTCTTAGTTAATTAGAATTAAACAGAAGAAGATCCACTCTGTGGAATCACTGCTAAATGTTTGTTATACTTTTAGGGAAAAGAATTATTCCTCTTGATGGCAAACATCCAATATATATTATGGGAAGCATGGGTGATGTAGGGGTGAGAGTGCTGGTGAGAGCGCTCGCCTCTCACCAATGCGACCCAGGTTCAAGTTGTTTGTTGGTTCTCTCCTTTGCTTTGAGGGTTTTCCGGGTTCTCCGGCTTTCCTCCCTCCGCAAAAATCAACTTCTAAATTCCAATTGGAATCCAGTGGAAGAAGAGCCACTGTGGAATCAACTGTTAATCCCATGATTTATTTATTTTTATTATTATTTATTTATTCTAATACATGTTGTTCCCAATTATGTTATTTTTAGGACAAGCAGTCTTCTGGCATTCCAGTGCGCATATTCTTGGTGAAGCCATGGAACGGCACTATGGGGGCTGTCTCTGTTATGGTCCACCAATAGAAGAGGGATACTTCTATGATATGCATCTGGACGGCAGGTCTGTTACATTATGAATACTATTATTTAAGTCCATTTGACCTCCCCCATTCATGCATGTACCCCTACTTGCAAGAACGTTGTCATACGATATTAGAACATTAGTAATTTAGTGAGTAAGGAATACATTAAAAGACAAATGAAAAAGTTCAGCTTCAGTGATCTTCTTTTGTTTTTTAATACAATTCCTATCCCACATAATCACTCATGTTCTAATTTCATATGACAACGTTCTTGCAAGTAGGTGTACATACGATACCAGATAATAGACCTTTACTGAATTTTGCTTAAGTGACAGCGAAACAATCACACCAAGTTTAGGCTGAAGTTGATGTGTTCACACATTTACTGTATTTTGTCAAGTTCAACCCTGACTTGGAGCCTTGGAGATCTATTGTCATAATTTCAGATTTCTGTATTTATTTTTTAGCTGTTTATTTGGGATGAGAAAATGGGAAATTAAAAAAGAAATATGAAAGACAATTTTTCATATTTTATCTTGCAGGCAAGTCTCATCCAATGATTTCCCTTCTCTTGACACTCTCACCAAGTCAATAACAAAAGAAAAACAACCATTTGAACGACTAGAAATGAAAAAAGAAGATTTATTTGAAATGTTCAAGGTCAGTTATTCATATCCATGTTCAAAATTCATTGAAATCATTCTTTTTAATGTGCTTTCTCTTTCAAATTACAGTACAACRAATTCAAATGCAGAATCTTGAGAGAAAAAGTCAATACTCCAACTACTACTGTCTATAGGTAGGTATCATATACTCAATGTCTACTTGAGTTCTCAAATGAATCTATATATTTGGGGATGAAGCAAGGCACAGAGGTACAGTAGTGGGTAGTGCACTCACCTCTGGTCTCAGGTTTGATTCTGGACTTGATTTCACATGATAATAAAGTTTGATAGGTCTCCCTTGATTCAAGGGATGCTACTCTAGTCTGCTCTGCTCTGCTCTGCCCTGCTCTGTCCTGCTCTGTCCTGCTCTGTCCTGCTCTGTCCTGCTCTGTCCTGCTCTGCTCTGCTCTTCTCTACATGTGAAGTCAAGTCCAGGAATCAACATCCAATCAAACAATCATTCAGGGTTACATGTTATGACAAATCTGTGGCCCTTAAACCCAGGTCAATCAAACCCTGATCATGTTTTTGAGATGGGATCATTAACTTCCTTATTACAGTACTGTAGTTGTATTTTTATTTATTAACGTCTTACTTTTTAAGATGTGGTCCGCTGATTGACTTGTGTCGAGGTCCACATGTCAGACATACTGGTAAAATAAAGTCAATGGCTGTCACTAAGGTAAGTCAAAAAGGCATTCTCTTTGTTTTGCAGTCATTTGATGCTGTTTATTTGTTGACGTTATTAATAGATTGTGTAGTTCCGGACAATATTCATGTCCCACCCACAGAGGAAATTGAAAATTCTGGAGGGGAGGGGGGTCAGAGAAAGAACAAAATTACAGAGTTTGTATGGAAGAAAATTAGAAGTTCCAAGGGGTAGGCAGGGGTACAAATTCCCTTTGTGGTGGTGGTACAGTATGGATATTTTCTGGAACAACACCTTCCAGTCATAAGCCTAAGAGTTTTTGTTATGGTTCTTTATACTGTATTATTTATGTCTACAGAATTCCGCTACTTATTGGGAAGGTAATTGTGAAGCAGAATCTCTACAGAGAATCTATGGAGTTTCGTTTCCTAATGATAAACAGGTCAGTTTGTTTTACTATTTCTAAATACTCACTGACAGACACTTTGCTGTTTGAGTCTAAAAGTGGCAATTTCCATAGCAAATGTGCACATGTGTGTAGGTATGTAGTCCTAAAGCACGCTGGGATTAGCATGAGAGAAGTGTTAGGAGAAGCATGACATATAACCATTATTTAATTTGATGGTTCTTTAATTTGGATAAAAATTTAGGGGGGATCCAGGGGGAGGGATGTGGGGTTTTTGGGTCTGCGCCCCCCCCCCCCCCCCCCCCCACCCCAACTGATAATTCCAATTCCTTCTTTGAGAGAACGATTACTAGAAGATCATAACTTTTTTGTTTTTTGTTTTGGTGTGACATTTTTTGAGGTTGGGTGCCCCTTGATTGTAGAACCCCTTTAAGAAAATCCTGGATTGCCCATGGAACGATTAAATAGAAAATAAGTGTGTGCAAATGCTGTGTGCTCTCAGAAAGCACGTGTACAYCCAACCAGTCAGTTAGGAAGACTTAACTGACAGTTATCTATGAATCCTGTTGTTGTTGGAGGAGGATGTTTGTTGTTTTGTCATTGTGCTGATGGTAATAACATATTGTTATTTTATTTTCTGAACCCTTGCTTATTATCAACCATTTTGAATTTGCTGCAGATGAAAGAATGGAAAAAATTCCAGGAGGAAGCTGCAAAGAGAGACCACAGGAAGATTGGAAGGGTAAGTAACAAGAAGTACACTTGTCTATCAAAAATCTATTGCTTTGGCTGTTGTATCACAGCATGGGACAATCACGACAGAGCTAGCCTCCAACTACACATGTACAGTAGGTTAAAGCCTAAACATCAAATTGGAATTTGGTAGAAGTTGATTTCTAAGGAAGAGAAAATCCAGAGACTCTTAAAAAAACCTCGAAGCACAGGAGAAAACCAACAAGCAACTCTACTCACATACAAAACTGAGCCATGGATTGAAAACCTGGGTTGCATTGGTGAGAAAAGACATTAGCAGCACACACCGCACCAACCTTGCGCTTGAATGAGAGGCTAGGCGTGGTGAAATCTATTTTTTAAACCAACATGGTGAAAAAGGGACATTACCAAAATGATTACAGTGCTTCGCGCCAAACCATGAACACCCAACAAAGTTTTGATTTCTTTTTGACAAGTTTAATTGTGCTCTCTACCACTCACCAATTAGACATCAGCGCTTCACCTTGATGTTTGGATAGGCAGAGTCTGTRCATCGATGTACGTAATGATATCGAAACATTCAAGTGAAGCACCAAAACATACTTGGTTAGTGGTAAAGAGATCAATTAAAACTTGTACGAAACTTTGTTGGGTGCTCACGGTTCGGCGCGCAGCACTGTAAGAGTATAATAATTTTTTTTATCTTGTTAGGATCAAGAACTTTTCTTCTTCCATGATCTAAGTCCTGGCAGCTGTTTCTTCTTACCTAAGGGAGCACACATCTACAATACTCTTATCAATTTCATCAAGGTATGCTATCTGCAGTTTTGGATCTCTGGTATTTGCTCTTGACTATCGAGTATTAATTTAAAACTCATGGATATGCAGAGCGTAGAAACGATATTGTAAGGCTTCTGAATATGCAAATGTGTCACTCGTTTAATTAATTACACTCTCACTAAGATGCTAGTACAGCATGATGTCAGGGTTCAAGGCTACACGCACCTATCCCAATTTGGAGGCATAATACTAAGATTCTAACAATATTCACTCATGATTATTACTGCTGCTAATAATGCCTTAGTATGTAACCTGTAAAGTCCTCCAGTGATATCACAGATCAGCGCATTGAGACAACTGTGAAATGCACTATACAGTATACGCTGTAAGAACTTCCCATCATTGTTTTATGTACTATTGTGTGTTATTAACTTCCTATTATTAATGGTCGGAGATTGGAAAATGCTCCTGTAACTGAGCAAAATTCTCTGCCTTAAGGTGACTGCCTACTTTTGGAAATTGATTTAAGCTTTTCTTAAAACTTCGATTTTCCGAATTGAAATTTAATGCTGATTCCAAATCTGGAAAGAAAAATAGGGTGTCCCGAGCTCGTTTTCGAGATAATCAGCAATTAATGGGAGCCTACGCACGAGCTTTTGGAGTAAAAATTGCGCCACCGGAAGTGATTAGAAAAAAA